GGTGGAGGTGCGAGAAGGCTCAGAAGCTAAAGTCCATGTCTAATTTAAATGACAACTGTATTAATATTAAATGAAATAGTGCTCCTTACTGCAGAAAAACTAAGTTCCACTTTAAACATAATTTCAATTTACCAAAGCAATTTTAACTCACTTTCAAAAGGCCCAATTGAATAGAACAGTCATTTCATCATCTTATTCCTTTTAAGGATTACAAAGCAGACGGGGGAGAGGAAGGGGAAGCCAAACCAAACCACTAATAGAGAGTAATAGCAATTTGGCAGACAGGTGTTCTTGGTTTCATCAAAAGAATGACTTGTAAATGCAGCCTTTTATGTATACTAAAGAACGTCTCTAAAAAGCTATATAATGATCTTGTGGGTGTTTCTGCAAGTGGATTAATACATTGCAGTCTAGATTCAAATCCCAAATAAAACCAGTGAATACACATAATTATATCCTACCTGTCTTAATTTAGGTTATTAATTTTCCCTCCCCAGAATTGAGTTGGAATCCACCTCTTTTGACTTTGTCTAATTGCACTTGGTGGGGAGAGATAAGGGCCTGAAGGAATCAGTCTGCTCCAGGTCACCTTCATTAGAGCTATCTCTGCAGCCACATGTATATTCCCTGCTCTGCTCAACGACAACAGAAGGGGAGCCACACACACCATCTTAAATGTTTAGTAGCTATGTTTTAAAAAGTGAAAAGGAACAAAAAACTTTCATTTAGGAATGTGTTGTTTAATATAGCCAAAATATTTTCTTTTCAACATGGAACCTAGGGAGGAAATTAAGAATATTTTGCATTCTTATTTTCCCCACCAGGTCTTCTAAATGCATTGTATATAGCGCACTCACTTTGTTCTAGCTACACCCCATGAGGTGAGCAGCTCACACATGGCTTGCTGCTTCTGACTGGAGAGCCCAGTCCAAGCATGGTGTGTTTATGTTGGTGTATCAGAGGGGAAGCTGTGTATCAGCCAGGAAGACCATGCCCACCTAGGAGTTTGAGCTTTACTCTCAAAGCAATGGGATTTTAAGCTGAGAAGTAGCATTTTTAAAATGTTTAACTCAGATAATTTCAGGATATGTGGTTTACAGGGGAGAGATCTGGAAATGTTGTTGTTGTTGTTATGTGCCATCGAGTCACTTGCGACTCATAGCGACCCTGTGTACAAGAGCCCTAAATACCGTTCTATCCTGTGCCAACCTAGCCATCTCAAATGTATTCATTCCCACCACTCCAGTCACAGATTCGATCCATCTCATCGAAGGTCTTCTTCTTCTGTGCTGTCCCTCCACTCTGCCAAACATGATGTCTCTCTCCAAGGACCAGTCCCTCCTTGCAACATGCCCAAAGTATGTCAGACGAAGCTTCAGAAACCTTGACTCCAAGGAGCATTCTGACTTCACCTTCTCTAGGACAAACCTGTTTGTTCTCCTAGCAGTCAATGGTATATTCAACACTCTTCTCCAGCACCACACTTCAAAGGCATCAATTCTCTTTCTGTCATCCCCATTCACTGTCCGGCTCTCTGACGCATAGCACATAATTGCAAAGACTATAGCCCAGATCAGGTGCACCTTAGTCTCCAGCCTGACGTCGTTGCTCTTCAGTACTCTGGAGAGGTCCCTCACAGCTGACTTTCCCAATGCAATTCGTCTCCTGATTTCCTGGCTGCTGTTACCAAGAGTCTTGACTGTGGAGCCAAGTAAACTAAAACTATTAACTTTCTCAATCTCTTCACCATCCGTACTGATGCTGCCAATTTTCCCAGAGGTGAGGATCTTTGCTTTCTTGATGTTGAGCTTCAATCCATATTTAAGGCTGCAGTCCTTGACCTTCTGCAGCAAGTGCTTCAGGTCCTCAGTTTCAGCAAGCAGGGTTGGGTCATCTGCATAACGCAGGTTGTTGATGACTCTTCCACCAATCCTAATTCCACATTCCTCCTCGTACAACCCAGCATCTCAGATGATCTGTTCTGCATGGAAATGTAGGTTGCTTCATTAAGAATGGTGTTGTGGTCCAGGTGAGGAGAGGTGAGAACCACACTAAAACACTGTAGGGAATATGGACAGAAGGATGTCTGAGAAAAATTTTAAGAGGTAGAATCATCAGGATTTTTTGGGACTGTAGCATGTGAGGGGAGCGCTGGTGGCCTAATGGATATAGAATTACGCTGCCAACCAAAAGGGAGGGGGTTCAAATTTACCAACAGCCCTGCAGGAGAAAGATGAGCAGTCTCCTCCTGTGCATTTTACAACCTCTGAAAACCTACTGGAGGGCCAGTTATGGAAGGCAGTTAGCAACCGCAACTAAGTAGGCTGGGAAGCTCTGGTGGTGTAGTCCACAGGGGTTTGCACTGCTAACCCAACGGCAGTGCTGCTCTGGTGGTTCAAATCCTCTCTGGCAGCTTTCTGCATGAGAGAAAGAGGAAGGTCTCCAGCTGAGTTACAATTCTCAAAAACACGCTGCAGGCTCAGCAGTCAAGAATCTCTTCTGACTTGAGAGCAGTGGTGATGATGATGATGGGATGTGAAGAAAGGGAGAGAGAATATCTTGGACAGTGGAGCCCGCCAGTAGGATATCTTACTGCAGTGGATGGAGGTCAGGTTGTGAGAGGGAGATAAAATCAAGTATGGCCATGCTGTAACAGGCAAGTGGATTTATAGTTTGATATGGAAAAGGCTTCTCAGACTGTAGAAAACCTAAAAAGACAGGATATTATTATTATGTCATAGAGTTGGAAATGACCCATAGCTGATCCTCCAACGGGTTTTCTGAGGCAGTAAAAAATCACACGCGAGGAGATTGCCCATTCTCCCCCACAGAGCAGCTGGTTGGATTTGAACAGCTTTGAACTGTGTGCCTTGGGAGTTACAGCACAGCTTCTTGCCACTAGGTCATCAGAACTGCCTAGAAAGACTGGGTGGAAACAGCCTTTTAAGGTACCAAGTGAAAACTCAGCAGTTAACAAGAAGAAGATGGATGACTGGGACAGTAAAACAGAGTTTCACAGAAACTCTAAGTGGGCTATTAAAGAATAGGTAGGGTTTGGAAAGTCCAAGAAGATAGAAGCACCAGCAGGAATGTAGAGAGGTGAGAACATGTCACACTGTGTAAGGGACACAGTGAATAATAAACCTCCCTGCTGGGCTAGAAGGGATTAGGCCTGAGATCAAAGCTGGCCTAATGCAGTTTGCAGACATGTTGTGTTTGGCTTGCGTAGGGTTGGATCACGTTGTTCTGAATTTAATTTAGGTGCCAACGTTTCCACACAAAACCATAGATTCTTGTTTTCTAAAAATAAAAAGAGGGATGGTGGTGGTTTATTGATGAATTGGGGCTTCTATGTGGCAGTAGTAGCTGCCCCTTCACATATGGCCCCTCTGCTTAGGCAGTTTGTTCTACTTGGTATGCTGTGTTCTCTGCCTGCGTCCTGTAGACAGTTGGAGGTTTTCTATCTTGAATCCAGGGATCAGGATGCAATAAAGACCATGATAGATTGTTGAGGGCTTGGAATAGCATCCTGAAAAGGAGACAGCTGTTCAGAAAGGCATTTTAATAAAATTTGAGGGAAAGGATTTTTTAAAATGTTAAGTAAGCGAAGATTAATATCTGACGTTTTTTTAACCACATCCCAGACATTGCTTTAAGGTCTTTACAAAAATACTTAATTTTCACAACAACTCCCTAAAGTCAGCACTACTGCTTTCTTCCTCTTACAGACAAGGAATCCAAGGTCCTTGAAGTTAGAAACTTACCCAGAGCCACTAGGATGACCACCAAGGTCACTCAGGATGGAAGCAGAGCTGGAACCCAAGCAGTGTGATTCTCTAGGGCCTTTTAACCATGATGGGAAACTGTAGCTTTCTTTATCTGTTTTAATATCATCTGAACAAGGAGTTTTGCTGATAGAGATCATTATGCTCTTATTCGGCAAGTTCCAGTATTTCAAGGGTATCTGTTTGATTTGCTGCTTCTAGAAGAGAAGAAGGTCTGGAATGGACTCTTTGCAGCTGCCTTTGGGAAGGATGGATGAGGTGCTGGCCCGAGTGGCTTAGCTTTGGATTGAGGGACCAGGGTTACATTGTGTGTTGGAAGGTTGGTTGTCTTCCTCTCACGAATGGCTTAGTGTTTGTAGTGTCGAAAATGTCTTGTATTTTCTTAGATGTTCTCATGAAACATAATTGTAAACTTTATAAATATTTTCATTTGGAGGGATGGGAGTTTATAACATTACAGAGAAACAAAAGCATTTGTGCAGAGCCTCAAAACTCAGCAGGTTTTCCTACCATATTTAATGTGGTTTCTCTCTTTGGTCTGCAGATGAATCATGTGAAGGAAAGATTTGCAACAGAGCATAATAAAGAGGTGCTTCTGATGTGCATTGGCATCACCTCAGGGGTTGGACGATTGCTCTTTGGACGGATTGCTGATTACGTGCCTGGAGTGAAGAAGATTTATCTACAGGTAATTTCTTAAAATCTTTTTCCTCCCTCCAGCAAATTGATCCTTTTGCCCAATGGCTCGTTAAATGGACTTACTTGCTTAAGTTCCTCAGTAAAAAATGAAAAATATTTCCTAGAGCATAATTTCTTTTAAAGGCAAAATCAACCATGAGCAAAAGTTTTAGACACGAGAAATTGATGATTGAACAACAGTCTTCTTTGTTTTGTCATGGACTTCTCCCAAACCAGAATGGGTGCTGCTGATTGCTTTTCCTAAGAGGAATGTTTTCTCTCTGGCATAGGCTGGGTAGTCATGTGCGGATCCGGTGCCTTGTGCAGCTTCTAGTGAAATTCAGAGATCTGTGAGGCTTTTGAGCTTCTGTATTGCAAATTGCTTCCAGATTGTTGTGACGTGTACACTAAATGCTCATTTCAAGACCATTATTGACACTCAGAAGAATCGATGCCTTTGAGTAATGGTGCTGTGGAGGAGAGTATGGAACATAGACTGCCAAGAAAACAAGCAGGCTGTCTTGGAGAAGGTGAAACCAAGTTTCTCCTTGGAGGCAAGGATTTTGAAGTTCTATCTCTCATACTTTGGGCAGGTGGCCAGGAGGGACCAGTCTTTGGAGGGCATCATGCTTGGAAGGGTCATCATGCTGCGGGGACAGCCCAGGAGAGGGAGACCCCAGATGAGATGGATTGACATGTAACTGAGGAAATGGGGGTATTGTACATAGGGTGGCTATGAGTCGCAGGTGACTTGATGGCACATAACAACAACATTGGCACTCATTCAACAAGTATTTACATGACTTTTTCACTGTGCTAAGTGCTGCATGGTTCAAGGAAATGTGGTCTGAGTCAGAAACTCATGGACTCATGGTGAGACAGATAAAATAGTGCTGGCTCATAGTATGATAGTGCTAGATGGGTACACTGAAACAGAAACTGAGTATCATTATCACTGGTGAAGTTCTGCGCAGGCTTCTTTGGCAAGCTGAGTGTTAAGAGAGAAAGATGTTCCAAGCAGAGAAACCTCTTGGGTTTAAAGATAAGGCGGTCTGACTTAATATACTGTGTCTTGAAAATTCTAAGTAATGTTTTAATGAAATTAGAGGAGAGTAGTGGATGGATTAGTGTAAAGGATAGACAGGAATCCTTATTCACACAAGAATCTACCCTGAAACCACTAAAGGATTTAAAGTAAAGGAGTGATGTAACCTGGGTTGAAGTTTATAATGATCCATTCAGTAACTGTGAAGGGCACAAGAGTGTGGGAAGAGGCAAGAGTGAAGTAGATTGTCCCCAGAAGCCACAGGTTATAATTCCACGCACATGAAATAGGATAATGAAATTGTATAGACAGAGAATGGTTGCCAGGAGCAGGGGGATGCAGGGACTGGGCAGTGACCACTGCAGTAGGACACCTTCATTTTGGGGTGATACTGACTACTCTTGGATGTAGTACCTTCATTTTTGGGTGATACTGACTACTCTTGGATGTAGTACCTTCTTTTGAGGGTGTTTGAATGAAATCAAAGGAGAGTAGTGGAGTACAACTGTATGAATGTATTAAAAACCACTCAACCACAGTGAAATGAAGAACTCATCTATGAAGAGGCAGTAAAGGGCCTTCAAGGAGCAGAGAAGTTTGATACATGATGGGAAAAGGCAGTTTATCACAAATAAGAAAGTAAGTTCCTTCCACTAATTGCCATGAAGTTAAGATTCATCACCACTTATTGAACACTTCTATGTACCCGAAGATAGTGTTTCTACTGTCATTATTTTTACGTATAGATGTGATCAATGAGGAATAGACAAGCTACGTTGTTATGGTGTCTGTGTGAGTGTAGGTCCAGGAAAACAGGCAGGAGCCTGGTCACACAGCTCATTCTTGTGTAGACTGAGTCTGAACTGACCCCTGGCTGACCCTCCAGAGGATTTTCAGAGGCAGTTAATCACACTGGAGAAGATTGCCCACCCTTCTCCCACAGAGCTGCTGGTGTATTCAAACTGCATGCCACAGCTTAGAAGACAGTAAAGGTAGTTGGTCAAATGAAAAGAACTCATTCCTTCCAGTCGGAACCAACTCCTTATCCGCTGAAGGATAAGTTCAGGCTTACCAGCGGGTATTCAGAGACTGTCAGTCACCCAGGAGACAGCCCACCTTCTGCAGAGCCGTCTGGATGGAAACCCCTAGAGAGGGACCCTCCTTTGAGTTAGCAGCTCCCTGCAGATGATGCGTACTGGATAGAGTACTATATTGACATCGTGCCTCCCCATTATCCACGGCTCCGGAGGGATAGCTGTGCAGTTTATTTTCACCCTTGTTCTCAATGTCAAGAGAGACCTCTACTGGACATTTGTTGCATTACAGACTTTCTTTTTATTCAGTCAAGAAATTACTTGTGGTTTGAGTTTGAACTCTGCCTCTTGCAGCAGCCTACACCCTGATGAGAGGATATAAACAAGACAGACATAGTTCCTGAGTTCTTGGAGCAAGATCAAGAGATACTGCTTTAGTGCATTGAACTTTTGTTGAAGAATTACGTGGTCTGATTTTACATTTTAAAGTCAGATGGCTGCTCTGTTTGTGGAGGTTGGGTTATAGGGAAGGCAAGTTTAAAGTCAGGGCACAGCAGGTGGACCTGTGGGTGGAGGACATGCCCATTTCAGAGCTCTGTAGGAATTGAGACTGGAGTTTGGCAGCTATGATTATAAAGATGGATACTGGTTTTGAATTAGGAATTACTTTCTCACATTCTTTTTTTACTAAGAAAGTGGGAATGGCCCACTTCAGCTGTCAACCCAATATTCAGGCTGCATATCTTCATGGAAAATGTGTCAAAAAGCTGTGACTTAGGCTTGAGAGTATGCGAGTAAGAAGAAGGGAGAAATCACATTTATTCCTCAGGAACATTGAACTGTTTTGGAATAAGCTGACATTCTTCTAGAATGTTATCAGTAATGCTTTACACTCCAGCAGCTGTTAATGTACTTGAAACAAAATCGGTTTCTTGTTTTGTATTTTCTCTCTTAAAAGAAATGCATTTTTAAAAATGAGGGTGGGAGTGGGAAGAGCAGTAAGTAGATAAGTGCAGTGGTTCAGGTGAGAGAAGGGAGCTTTGGTGGTGTAGTGTGTGAGGAACAAAGGCATGTGGTTGAAACAACCAACAACCCCGAGGGAGAAAGATGGATTATTTGATTGGCTGCCTCTGGAAGGTCAGCTATAAGTCGGTTCCAACTAGAGGACACCTAATAACAACAGGTGAGAGATGATGTGGAAAGGTGGTAGAGTGGATGAAGTCATATTGTATATTTTTTACATCAACATTTTACTCCAAAACAACTTTTAAAAAAGTCTTTTCCCCTACAGATGGGTTAATCTGGTCATTTGTTACAGGCTAGGGAAAACTTTTTATTAAAGCCTTTTAAGTCATTCCCAGGAGAAACTAGAGCTTTTCCTAACCTGTCCCATGTTTATCTGCACTTAGAACAGCTGAGAGTTAGGTTAGTATTGTAAACGAAGTATTTCCTTTTGAATGAAAGGTAAGACACAATCGGGCTTCTTTCAGATTTTATCTAATTTTGTTGTTGTTGCTATCCAAACATGGTACATTGTTTATGGTACCCATGCTGAGTCAGTCAGGAGAGTCCAGTCCTTGGAAAAAGACTTGATGCTGGAAAAGGTGGAGAGTCTGAGAGAAAGAGAGGAACAAGGAGATGAAGTGACACAGTGACTTTTAGCAGTGGACCGGAGCTTATCAGAGATCCTGAGGATGTCATGGGACAGAGCAAGGTCTATTTTCCATAGGGTCACCTTGAGTCATATTCAATTCAGTGACATCTAACAACATGGACAACAGAAGGCTTTCAGTGTGTTGTGTGTGGTGTCATCCTGTGAGCACAGTGACACAGCATTTAATGCAAACCTAGCCCACCGGACTGTGTCCTGCATCACTCCACTCCCCTCTGGGCCTTCTTTGTTCCTGACTTCCTCTGCTCTGCTCTGCCCTACAAAACAGTGTGCTTTTCATTCTTTGCTCTTTCTCCGCTGCTGCTGCTGCTGCTGACTCCAGCTCTGCCTAGAGTCTCTATTCATTCCTCTTTTCTTCCGTCCCTCCCTACCTGGCCAGCAACCTTTTGGCCAAGTCTTTTAAGGTTTGGGAAGGCCCTGTTACTTCTCTTACTTTCTTTCCGTACTTTGGTTATGTTTTCTCATACACACTCCCTACTTTCACCTCAGGGGCCTATGACAGCTCTCTTTTCAGGTCCCCTTGAAGCCACCTCTGGAGGTGAGCATTACCTGGGCTGAAACCAATTCACTTCATAACCCTCCCAAACAGCCCAGCTTCTGGTCCAGTCACTAGGGATTGGGGCCTGTAGAGCAGACAGGGCACAGGCCCTGAGTGAGGCGTGAGTTCATCTCAGTTCTGCCACTGACTTATCTCCAGAACTGGGAGAGACTGGTGAAGATTCACGGTGACAGCATACATGGAGTGCTTGACCCACACTGGACGGTTAGTCACTCCTTGCTTTAATATTTCATCAATACTGAAGGCAGACCTTGATTTGGAACAAGTCTCAAGAAAGGAGACAAACATTTGTTTTTGTAGATAATGTAGGTGTTACATCTCATTCTTTTGCCTAAGGGTTCTAAATTTAGACTTCCATCATCTGGGGCTTGAGGCATTTGAGCCTAGCAATTCCAAAAACAGAGCTACTCCTTCTAGAAGAGATGGCTGGATTGATTCACTTATTAAGACTTTACAATGTGTGTGCTTTCTTGGAAAAGGAAAGCCTGTGTCTCTTTATCATCTTTCTTAACTTCAAGACCTAACATTCCATCAGAACCTCAAACTGGTTCACTGTGGTTGTCTGCTGAAATTTTGCATTTCCACCCCAGATATACCGAACTGCGTCTATACAAAAATCCATGCATGATCCTTATACCATGTGCTTTCTAGTCACCTTTAAATTCCTACAGATTTCTAACTGCAGCTATTTTAAAACTGTGAATGCTTCAAAGATTTGTAAGTTATAATTTCATAGTGAAATAACGGAAAACTTTGGATTTAGGTTGATTTTCCCATTATCCTATTTATCTGATGTGGACACATTGAAGAGTGAACTTTCGATCTGTGTATGTAAAGAGGTCTGGAATGATCTAACCCAGGTTAAGTAGAGGAAGAGAGTAAGCATAGGAGGGAGAGAGGAGCTGAAAGAGGACTTTCCTATATTATTTCTTTAAACCTTGAATTGTTTAAACCAGTGTATTCATTAGTTGTCATTTGCTGTTGTGTGCTTTTGAGTCAACTACAACTCATAGTGATTCCATGCACAATAGCTCTGAACCCTGCCCTGTCCTGAGCCAGTCTCACTGTCTCTGACACACCTACCCTCATTACCCAAGTCACTGTATCAGTCCATCTCACCTGGGTTCTTCCTCTCCTGTGCTATCCCTCCATCTGTTCAAGCATGATGTCCTTCTCCGAGGACTGGCCCATCCTGGTCACATTCCCAAAGTATATGAGATGGAACCTCAAAACCCTTGCCTCTTTAAAACAAACAAACAAACAAAAAAACCACCACAAAAAAACAACAGAACACCTTGCCTCCAAGGGGAGCTTGGTTTCACCCTCTCTGTGATAGACCTGTTAGATTTTTTAAACTATAATCATTTCTGTATCCATTCTGGCTAAGTGAACAGATCAGTGTTGCCCAGTTGTTTGCTTGGTTTTTTTCTTTATCCCCCCTTTTGTTTCATTTCCCTAAACATTTCCTTTAGGCATTTTACATTTTCCTAAAGATCCTTGTAAGAAGCACAACCAAGATATTCCTTAGAGGCAAGGTTGATGAAGCTTCATCTTCCATAGTTTGGGCATGATGTTAGGAGGGGCCATTCCTCGGAAAAAGAGATCATGCTGGGAAAGGTGGGCTGTATCAGAGGCTTGAGCATGTCCAGTATCATGAGGATGGCTGAGGGCCAGGGGCACGTCTGTTGTTCATAGCATCATTGTGCATCCCAGTTGACTCAGTAGCACCAAGCAGTTCTCTGCCCTGTTGCTGCTTATATAAATCGATTATTAGGCCTAAAAAGGAACCACAGGCCTCATAGTCTCATCTGGGCAGTGGCACCGGGTATGAATGTGTCACATGTCAGTTTCTTCAGCAGGCAACCCTCATATACCAGGGAAGTGTTGAATAGACTCACTGGGGAGTGCTTCAGGACTGTGTCTTCTGCATGCTTTAGTGAAGCCTGCCACCTAGCAGTGAGGCCTGAGCATTGTCCCTTCTTTTTTATTGCTAGATGCTGCTGAGTCAAGTACAACTCATCACGACCCTCTAATCAACAGATCTGGCCTGTCTTACCCTATGCCAGCCTCACATCTCTGACACTTTCAAGCCCATTGCAGCAGCACTATGTCAGTCCACCTGATTGAGGGTCGTCTCCTTCACCATCCCTCTACCTTTACAAGCATGTTGTCCCTTTCCAAAGATTAGCCTTTTCTAGCAACACACCCAAAGTATAGGAGAACCCTGGCTGCACTCTGTCCAAGACCTATCTGTTTGTTCCTTTGTAGACCATGGATGTTCAGTACTTTTCTCTAACTTTAAATTACTTTCTATAATTAAGAATGTTAATGTTTGTTTAGTTTTTAAATAAAAACCTCCTTAAATCCTTAGCCACTTAATAATTTAAAATTGCATCCTGTATTTTATTTTTAGTTCTCTTTATCTCCTTAATGGGAAGATTAAAGCATCAGGAAGGTTTTCACCTGTTCAGGGTCACCGGCAGCTGGGACCTGACCCCTGTCCCTCAGAGCCCTACTTCTTTCTAGTTCTAACCAGGCTGCAAACCCGCTTGTTCCCCACTGCTAAAAACTTATGCCTGTACTTCCATAGAAAGTACATTGGGGAAAAAGATGTTTAGGTAGAAAATAAGAACTCAGGAGAATGGGGAGATTCTGTTGCATAGAAGTGCTTGTGTGACTGTCTAGGCTTATTTTTTCAAATAGTCAATTTGGAATTTTAAACTAATGAAAATTTTTATGGTAAAGTTATAGTCAGTAATGAAAATTTTAAGAACATGCATATCTATGTGATGTAACAGTGTAAAAGAGATACTAAACCTGTTTGGGACATTTTTCAGAAGTGTGTTTCTTATTGTGCTGTTACTGGGCCACTGGCATTAAATGTGGATTTTTTTTGCAGGGGCGGGGGGCGACATGTCAAAAGGTTATAATCCAGGTTAGTAGCAGAATGCAGTCAGGACAGCTTCCAAAATCTATTTCTCAGCCTTGAGGCAGGTGCCTTAGCCTTGAACCTCACTATTTTAAGTCAGTATTACAAAGCTCTTAGTCCTGCCATTTATGGCTCTTCCCCACCTACCACCTATCTTCAGTTCTCCAGTTGTCCAAGAAACTTGAGCAAAGGCTCTTTGGTTCCATTGCGGGTGGCAGTCCCGAGGTCAGCTCCATCTCACGTTGGTCTCTGGTCCTCTGCTTCGGGCATGGCTGCTCCTGCCGTAAGTCTAACTGACACAAGAATCTCTGGAGGATGAGCCACATTCTCTTGCTGCTTCTTTGCTGGTGGGGAAGATCTTCTGATTCTGCAGCTGGATCTTGTTTCTTCTGCATGCCAAAATAAGGAAGACCATGGACTGCCAAGAAAACAAATAGGTCTGTCTTGAAGATGGTGAAACCAAGTTTCTCCTTGGATGCTAGGATTTTGAAGCTCATCCTCACGTACTTTGGGCATATGTCCAGGAGAGACAAGTCCTTGGAGAAGGGCATCCTCAGATCTCTAGTTTGGCCATGGTTGCTGCTGTTACTGCAGAAGAGTGTCCTACATTATTATCTTGCTTCTTTCTCCTGGGGCGGGGAAGTGGATTTGAGACACCTTCCCAGATCACAGTCCACAGCTTCAGGATCCCTCCGGTGACCCTGACATGGACCCTGGGGTGGTGACCTGCCTGGAACCCTCTTAGCAAACTTGGTATTGTACAGATGTGCTTCAGGGATCCTCTTCCTCCTCAGTCGTGCCCACCTCAGGAACAGATCATCCACTCCTTGCAAGTGTCCTTGTGTCCACAGGAGCAGTTCCTTAACCTCTCCTAGCATCACTATCTTCATCTGCAAAATAGGAGTAGCATTAATATTCACCTAACAAAGTTGTAGAGAATCACTATAATATCTCTAAGGCTTTGAGAGCAGTGTCTGTCACTTTGTAAACACTAAATGATAATCACTATCATATGCATGAAGGAATCAAGGTGGCACAATGGTTTGTAACAAACCGAAAGGTTGACATTGCAAACCCATCCAGCTGCTCCCCCGGAGAAGAGGCCTGGATGCTGCTCCTGTAGAAGAATGTGGCCTAGAGAACCCTGGGGCAGGACATCTCTGTCACACTGGGTCCCTCCCGAGGCAGAGTCTGTGAGGAGGCGCCTACTAACATCATCATGTGTATATGTTTTTCCCAAACCTGACCTTTTGAAACACATTTTCTTCCACTGATGTGTTCAATGTCTTCCTTCCTTCCTTCCTTCCTTCTTTCTTTCTTTCAAAAGTTATTGTCTGCCCCCTTGTATTCATTTTGTATATACTTTGAATATGAAAGGATGGCAGTATGTAGAATACTTCATTACATATCCATCTCCCTACAGCTCAAGGGTAGGAAGCAGGTCTTAGCAATTATTAAAATGTCTCTCTGAGCCAAGGAGAATCACAAATATGATGAATGAGTGAATTTAAGCTAATGATCAAAGAACAAGTATTTATTCAATACAGACTAGGTGCTAGGTCTTCAATCTCATAATACCTGTCCCAAAGATGAGTTTGGTACAGACTGTGCCCTCAAAAGAGTTTACCGACTAGAGGGCAAAGCAAGAAGAAATAGTTTCGTCCTTGGACCTTAATGGAGATACTGAGAGTGCACTACAGAAACTCTGATGATGATTGGTTCTGATTATGTATATAAAATCAAGATGAAAGGAGGGGGCACAAAGGAAGCAGTAGTTGGTTGGTAGACCGGAGTGTGTTCCTCGCTAATTGTCTTGTTCTGAGGGCAGAGTTAACCTTGTGGTATCTGTCTTAGGTACTGTCCTTTTTCTTCATTGGCCTCATGTCCATGATGATTCCCCTGTGCAGCGTCTTTGGGGCCCTCATTGCTGTCTGTCTCATCATGGGTCTCTTCGATGGATGCTTCATCTCCATCATGGCTCCCATTGCTTTTGAGTTGGTTGGCGCCCAAGATGTCTCCCAAGCAATTGGATTTCTGCTCGGATTCATGTCGATACCCATGACAGTAGGCCCACCCATTGCAGGTGAGTGTGTGATGATTCAACAGTAATTTTTTAAAAATTTATTTTATTATTTTTGTGTGTGTGTACTGTCAAATCAGATCTGACTGGTATAGGAGGAGATTGCCCCTCCTTCTCCAGCAGAGCATCTGGTGGATTCAAATCACGTACTTCTGGGATTACAGTGCAGCTTCTTGCCACTCGGCCACCAGAGCTCCCTATTCTACAGTAGTTCTATTAATTCACAGCATTTCCCACTCCAGTTCTGAAGTTCCACTTACATGTAAAACATACATACCTGTCCTAATTTATGACTGGATTTTTGCTTTTGTGTGTGCCTTATTCATAAGGAACATGTGGTGGCCTAGTGGGTTGGATAGTAATGCAGTAAACTCAAAGGCAGGTAGTTTGAATCCACCAGTTGCTTCTGGGGAAGAAGATAGGCCGTCTCCTCCTGTGCACTCTGTTGCTGTTGTTGTTGTTGTTGCATGTACCATAGAGTTGGAACCAACCCATAGTAGACCCTCCAGAGGGTTTTGAGAGGCAGAGAATCACACGGGAGGAGATTGCCCATCCTTTTCCCATGGTGCAGCTAGTGGCCTATGAACCACATACCTTCGGGATTGCAGTGCAGCTTCTTGCCACAAGGCCACCAGAGCTCATTCTCTATGTACTCTACAGCCTATAAAAACTGCTGGAGGATCAGGTTTGAGTCAGTTCTGAGTCGATGGCGATGAGGATAACATAGAAAGAACAGCTATAGAAAAAGCTTGCTGGGTAATTCTTATCCTTGCTGGAATCTGAAAACTTAGTAAAGTAAAACAGTAAGCTTTTAGGCTTTAAGCTTTCACAGTTCCTATATTTAACTTAATCTGTGTTTGGGGAAATGGGAAAATAGCTTCTCTTTTTTAATGATAACTATATGGAAAGATTTCTGAATATGTATGCATTATGTAAAAGGTAATGTCTCCCTGAGGAAAAGCTGATGATGTACAAAATTTAGTGTAAATAACCAAATGTCCATCAGCTGATAAATGGGTAAACACATTGTGTTATACGTATATTGTGAATATATATTTAATAGTCTGACTTTCTCAGCCAACTCATAGATTTATAATTTTGCATTTAGAGTATAATTTTAAATGGTTTCCATTTATGTCATCAAAAAAAGCCAAAACAACAATAACAACAAAACCCTACATAAGGCCAGTGTCCATTTGAAATATTTTGAGTGGAAGGCATTTTATCCTGACCACTATCTTCCACCAATGCACAAACTCTCACATCATGTGAGAAGTCCCCAAATGTCCCCTGAGGACTTTTGGAAAAGACAAAGCTTTTCCTTGAAGATAATTTCTTCTAGGTAATACATTGGCATGAGAGTGCTGAGGCCTGCACTCCGCGACAAAAAATAATGCCAGGAAATCTTCTTACTACAGGAAGTTTGTATTTCAGGTCTACACCTTTACCAAAAAAAAAAAAATTATTTCATTAGAATTTCTCCTTGGAGCCTAAGATTTTTTTATTTTTTTTTTTTTATTATTTTGTGTGCGTATACCGTCAAATCAGATCTGACTGGTACAGGAGGATATTGCGCCTCCTTCTCCGGCAGAGCATCTGGTGGATTCGAACCGTGTTCCTCTGGTATTGCAGTGCAGTTTCTTGCCACTAGGCCACCAGAGCTCCCGGAGCCTAAGATTTTGAACTCTATCTCACATACATTGGGCGCATAGCCAGGGGAGACTGGTCCTTGGAGAAAGACATCATATTTGGAAGGGTGGAGGGACAGTGCAGGAGAGGAAGAGCCCAGATGAAAGGAAATGATAGAGACAGTGACTGAGGCTATGGGGGTTGGTGTGTCGGAGTCAGTGAAACTGGGTCAGGACAGGGTTCAAAGCTGCTTTACATAGGGTTGATATGGGTCACAGGCAGCTCGACAGCACATAACAACAAATGATATTGTAATAACCAAAATAAACCCAGGAACAGTTCGGAATGTAGGCATTTTGAGTGTGTGTGTGTGTGTGTGTGTGTGTGTGTTTGTTTTCTCTTGATAATCCATCTGCTCTATCAGCAGTGTTGTTTGAGACAGTTCTGCTAAGGTGAATTCATCATGTTGCGACCAGGTCAGGCTGATTGGAAACACTGAAGAGCCACACTGTTCTCTTTCTGACAGTACTTTCCCTTTTCAGGGTTACTTCGAGAACAGCTGGGCTCCTATGACATGGCATTCTACCTTGCTGGAATCCCTCCCCTCGTTGGAGGTACTGTGCTTTGTTTTATCCCATGGATCCACAGTAAGAAGAAAAGAGGGATGAGTAAAACCAATGGAGAAGAAAAGATGGAGAAGATGTTGGAGAACCAGAGCTCTGTGGTCTCCAGCTCATCTGGACTCCTCAAGAAAGAGTCTGACTCTGTTATTTAATGTCTTACATATTGGCACCAGACTGGACTTGCTTTCTTTCAGAGGCCTAAGCAAGTTTTCCTTTTATATGAATTACAAATTTCTTATTTTTTTAAATCACATTCTAGGAAAAGCACAATAGTTGGTAAATAGAACCCTTGTCACAGAATAATTTCTGCCATGTCTGAATAGCAGACATACCTACAAGTATGAGAGCAGTGACTCTGATACCTGAAAACATGTCTGAAAGTCAGATTATATTTAATTGTGAGAATTTGGAGATATCTCAGCCAAAAAAAGCAACTGTGGAAACTGTGAATGTTATTTTGCTTGTATAAATATTTAAAAATACCTCAAGCTCTACTGGAAGGGTTGCAGTTTGGTAGGACTGGCAGCGGTGTTTGTTCTCTTGCCTGGTATTTTATCTAGTGCCCTTTTTTCTCTCCTGCTGGGCACATTTAAAAAAAAAATTCATCCTGGATTTTAATTAATACCAAATATACCTGAACTTAACTCTATGTTAAAGTTGCCTGCTGTTAAATAAGCTATGTTGTTATTAAGATATCCTGACTTGCTCCCCTGTCCAGGAACCTTTCTTGTAGCAAATGCAGTGCAGTGTTCAGCAACAGGGTATGAGACGAAAGGCTCCTGTCCATCAAGCCAGCGGAGTTCAGAAATCAGGATTCTTCCATTTATATTTGTTTTTAGTTTGTAGTGTTTTACTCAAGTAATCAGCAACATCCAAATTTCTGAATTTTTTTAATTGAAATAATAAAAATAAAATGAATGAGATATTTTGGCAATTTCAACATAGAATTTTTCTGACTTCTGGATTTGTTAGCACTCGGACTTGTTATTTAAACATAAGCATGTGTTCTCCAGTTGAAATTACAGGCACAAATGGGCCAGAAGTAGGGTGGGGGACCTAACTTTGTATTCACCAAGAAAATGCTCATTTCTGAGAAAATAGCAGCTTAAATTGGTTTATGAAATTAATTAGACTTAAAAGGACAAAAGTACTTTGTAAAGGGAAATGACTCCATGATTCCCAAACTCTTACAGCAAAAGCCTTTATCTGTACTTATCCTCATGTGCATACCATTAACATTCCCATTATTTTTTCATTTGTATATAGAATATTGTAAGACAGTGTATAGAATTTTTAAAAGTTCCACTGCCATCAAGTTGATTCCAACTCATAATGAACAGAGTTAACTTCCCAGTTGGGTTTCCAAAGCTGCAATTATTGAGGGAGCAGACTGCCTGTTCTTTCTTTCTCAGAGGGGCTGGCAGACTCCAACTGCCAACCTGTTGGTCAACAGTTGAGTGTTTAACTGCTGTGTGCCCAGGGTTCCTATTAGAGATCCAGGGAACCAAAATTAAAACCAAAGTGATGCTATGACATACTCCTTTACAAAGATAATTTTCTTATCTCTTGAAATTTATTTTTATTATCTTTTTAGTTAAGTAATCAGAAGTTATTAATATGCAAAGCATATTTCAATCCTAGTTCCCAATGTCTATTAGCTCTTTCTTGAATGTAGCTTGTTCTCCCTGGAAGAATGCCATTTTCTGAAGTACACCTAGGGTCTGTGCTCTCTGTAAAAAAAGAAGCTGAATTGATCATCTTGCCACTTTTACTTTCAGCTCTTCTCTGAGATAGTCCTTCCATTCTTTGGCTCTAGATGAGGATGGAGAAATCTGGAGAATAGATAGATCTGTAGTTGTTGATTTGGGGAAACAGGGAGATGAATAAAGCAACTGAATAGCTGGAAAACCTGCCTGTTCAGATGAAAGCATCTTTTATCTTCCCTCTTGAAAGATCCAAGTATACTATGTGAATGTGGAGTTTCCTTTTAATAGGATTTTATGAAATGATCTTGATTGTGAAGATGCTCAGAAAGTTACTTTGCCATATACACAGCTGCAACTTGCTATTTTCAATACTTTCCTGTTTCATATTCAAGACACTGAAATAATTTATAGAAGGCCCTGGTGCAGTGGAGTGTGGGAAGAAATTCTACATTTGGATCATACTGTCTTTTCATGGCTTTATTTTAAACCTTTAGAAAATAATTTATAAATTAAAAATAAATGTTTTTATCATATATTTATGCTTGTTGTTGTTTTGTGCTGTCAAGTCACCTGTGACTCATAGTAGCCCTATGTACAATAGCCCTAAACCCTGCTCTATCCTGTGCCGGTATCACTGTCTCCAATATACCTACCCCCATAACCCTTGTCACTGAATCAGTCCATCTCTTTGAGGGTCTTCCTCTCCCGCTCTGTCCCTCCATCCTCCCAAGCAGTCCTCTCCAAGAGCTGGTCACTCCTAGCAACATGTCCAAAGTATGTCAAATGGAGCTTCAGAATCCTTGCCTCCAAGGAGCAGCCTGGTTTCACCCTCTCCAAAATGAACCTGTTGGTTCTCTTAGCAGTCCATGGTATATTCAGTACTCTTCTCCAACACCACAGCTCAGAGGCATCAATTCTCCTATCATCCCTAGTCATTGTCCATTTTTCTGACACATAGCAAGTGATTACAAAGACCATGCATGGCCTGTATTAGGTGCACCTTAGTCTCCAGACTGTCATCATTGCTCTTCAGTACTTTGGAGAGGTCTCTAACAGCAGACTTTCCCAATGCTGTATGTCTTTTAATTTCCTGACTGGTGGTACCAAGAGTGTTGATTGTGGAGCCAAGCAAACTAAAGCTGTTAGTAATCTCAATCTCTTGACCATCTATCATGATGCTGTCAGTTGGCCCAGTGGTGAGAATCTTTGTTTTCTTGATGTTGAGCTTCAATCCATATTGAAGGCTGCAGTTCATGATCTCTTACAGGAAGAGCTTCAGGTCCTCCTTAGTTTCATTAGGCAGGGTTGTGTCATTTGCATAATGCAGATTGTTGATCAGTCTTCCTCCAATTCTGATGCCACATTTCTCCTCATACAGCACAGCCTCCTGGATAATCTGTTGCACATATAGATTGAAAAGGTACAAAGGTAGGACACATCCCTGGCATACACCCTTCTTAATTTTGAACCATGCAGTGTTTCCTTGTTCTGTTCTGATGATTGCCTCCTGGTCCAAGAATAGGTTTCACACAAGCATGATCAAGTATTCTGGGATTCCCATTCTTAGAGTTAGCCACAGTTTTGTTTTGGTTCACACAGTCAAGCACCTCTGCATAGTCAATGAAACACAGATAGACATTCCTCTGGTACTCTCTGCTTTCAACCAAAATCCATCTAACATCAGCTACAATATCCTTTGTACCACAGCCTCTTCTAAACCCAGCCTGCACTGCTGGCAGTTCTCTGTTGATGTGCTGTTCCAGTTGTTTTGGGATAATCATCAGAAGAATCTTGCTTGCATATCAAATTAATGATATTGTTCGATAATTTCCACACTCTATCAGAAGACCTTTCTTTGGAATGAGAACAAATATCGATCTCTTCCAGTTAGTTGGCCAGGTGGTTGTCCTCCAGATTTCTTGGCACAACCTGGTAAGCACATCCAGGGCAGCATCTGTTTGTTGAAATAAACCAGTTGGTATATCATCAATTCCTGGAGCCTTGTTTTTTGCCAATTTTTTCAGAGCAACTTGAACTTTTTCCTTCATTACCACAAGCTCTTGTTCATATGTTGTTTAATGAAATTCTTCTCTATCCACCAATTCTTTTTGGTGCAATAACTCTGTATACTCTCTGCATCTTCTTTTAATTCTTCCTGGATCATTTAATATTCTGCCCAAAGCATCCTTAAGTATTGCAACTTGAGGCTTGAATTTGTTCTTCAGTTCCTTGAGCTTAAGAAATGCTGAGCAAGTTTGGCCCTTTGATTTTCTGACTCCAGCTCTTTGCATATCTCATTATAATGCTTTACTTTGTCTTCCCATGCTGCCCTTTGAAATCTTCTGTTCAGCTTCTTCCCTATCATTATATCGTAATTTTTTCCCTTTGCTTTGATTTTTCAGCACTCTAGTGCAATATTCAGAGTCTCTTCTGACATCCATCTTGGTCTTTTCATCCTCCTCTGTCTTTATAATGATCTTTTGCATTCTTCCTGGATGATATTCTTGATATCCTCCCACAACTCATCTGGTCTTCGCTCATTAGTGTTCAAGGCCTCAAACCTGTTCCTGAGATGGTTTTGAAATTCAAGTGGGTCAGACTCAAGGTCATATTTTGGTTCTCATGGATTTTATTTCATTTTCCTCAGCTTTAGCTTGAACTTGCATATGAGTAGATGGTGGTCTGTTCCACAATCAGCACCTGGCCTAGTTTTCAGAGTTGTATAAAAACTACTCCCTCAATATTATCATCGCTTCTGAAAAGCATACATCTAAGACCAATCATCAAGTCTGCCATTACAAAAAGTTTACTTTTTTAATAGTTTCAACATAGACTCTTAAAGACTAGTTTTACAAAATAAGTATTTCCATAAAATGGAAAATTTAATCTGCAAAGATTTACAAAGTGTTTTTTTCTTTCGAAATTTGGCTGGTTTAAGAAAAAAGTATATGACACCCAAAGATTTAATCTGACTTGGTTAGAAGTGTCTATTTTACAATAGCAAATGACTTAAATGTTGAAATGAAATTTGTTCTTGAGTTTTGTGTAATGGTGGACATATGTAGTTTCTTAGTTTAATGGAATGAATCAAACTTGATCTCTTTTTTTTTTTAAACTTGATCTCTTAACACTGAAAAAAACAAACCCCAAACCAAACTTGTTGCCAGCAAATCAGTTCTGACTCAGTGATGTATCTACAGGACGAAGTAGAACTGGCTTCTAGGGTTTCTAAGGCAGTGATCTGTATAGAAGCATCCTGCACAGCTTTCAAGTAGCAGCATAAAGGTAAGATGGTAAATTTCATAAAATCCTTACTTAGAGTCTTATTGTGTATTTCATAAGAAAAAAGTCTAAAAGTCTGAGATATGCAAGCAAAGAAAATGAAAAACATTAAAGAAAAATGAAAAACATAAAGACTGTGTTTGTTTTGGACCAAGAAATATTGA